CAACTTAGGTTCCAAACAGATAGCTAGGTATATGATCAAGTATTTGCAATCTTTTTTCCAGACACCAAACGTTTGTTCTATGACCTTTTTTGCAGGACGAATGTCTGTAGTTAAACCTCTCATGAGCATTCCGAAACCGGGGACGACAATTGGATCCATCATTGCAGAATTTAGGGCTGGACATGGTCATGTTCAGTTCTCTTCATAACCGAACTGAACCAAAATTTTTGGGTATTTAATAAATGGAACCGCCGGGTCCAAATATAATTATGGAACCGTTCGGATTCGGTTCTGTACCATAATTAAATTTTTTAACAGATTTCTAATGGTCAATGATCGATGATCGTAGTCGGAGGTCACGGCTTCAATGGGCAATTGGAAAGGAGAAGTCGGACTCTGCAGTCGGCGACTTTGATTTAGGCATGTAGATGTAGGTTTTCAATTTATTAAATGATTTGAGGTTAGTGGTTCAATGGTTACCGAATGAAAGTGTGAAATTGGAAACAGAAGTGTAAAAACTTAAAAAGACATAGATCTTAGGCTAAGAATGAAATTAATAATTGGGAAAAAAACTAAATTAAGAAATTGAATTTAGAAATTTGGCTGAGATGGGCTGGACTAGCTAGGTATGGACTTGACTTGAGAGTTAGAGAGCATTAATCATTAAATTAGTTAATTTCCTGATTTGTTTAGAAAAAATTAAAATAATTTAATTAATTCAATATAAAAAATTAATTAAATTCGATTCTTCGATTTCTGGGTCTAGAATCGAGAACCGAACCTGTCGGTTCTTGATTCAGATACCATTTCGAGTATTTAACTTATGAAGAACCGCTCGATTTGGTTCGGGAGTTTTATCCATCCCTAGCAGAACTCCTGAAAATGATACAATATATCTGATCATTTATAAGAGGCTATGTAGCTCGATCGATGAGCAAGCCCGGAGTCAACCAAATAATACTTACCCGGCCCGGGTAATGGAAAATGAATTTCAGGACTGTGTATATCACGAGCTAGTATTCGCTCATCGTGGGTATTCCCGATGGTACCGGTAATCACGAATGTGAAACACAAATTGAAATCGCATGCGGCCAACACATTTTGCGTCGGCACTCCTTTGTGGCCTATAAAATTCACCCGTTCGTTACGCGGCAGCACAGCTCTCACATACGTTCCATCAATAGCAACAATGCAGTCTTGAAACAAAGGAATCTTTGTCGAGTTTGGCCTGTGGGGCTCCTTACCCTCGTTGTAGTCCAGCCTTGGTTGTATGAGACGTGCCAATAAGGTAATGACAGCAGTGAGTACCTTCTTAAACTAATGTGATACTCTTTACAACGAATGATTGAAAATAATAGTCACATGGCGGTATCATTTTCCATGCGCTAATATGCACAAGAATATTCCAACTTGCTCGTAGATATCTAAATGTAGGCTACTGCGTAAGCCATATTCGTCCCGCATAATATGTGCAAAGTGTCGAAATAGTTGTGGATACATTCTGGACTCTTGATAACACATCTTGTCGTTAACTTCTATTGCTTCTTTCATAAACATGTGTCCATTTCTTGAAAACGAGAATCGTCGGATACGACGTTGTTGTTTGAGATAGTAGTTCCTGGCATCGCTTACTGCGATTTGACAATATGTAACCCATGTCGTGACGTCTTCTGCTGGTGGCTAAAAAACTCCTAATCATTGACTTCTTCTTCATCATCAGATCCCGATAAAAGATCATCCATTGTAGGAAAATGAAGATCACCGAATTATGCAATATTACAAAGATTTCTACGCACTGGACAAAAAATTCACCATTCATGTGTTTAACCAACGAAGTTATATAAGATTAATGACTCATTGCACGTGTTTCGTTTGAGTGAAATTCAAATAATTATTCCACAAGGTTTGAAAAAATGTGACGCTTATATATTTATGGCATGTGATACTTTTTGTTGTTGTTAAAACGCGGTTCCCAATAGGAAGTTGTATGTAGAAGTTGTCAATCATGCATGCACTATTTGTTACACAAAAAAATAAATTATACATTTCAAACGATCACTCACTAAGTTAAACCCATGCTTGAGAAAACATAATGTTCGATACGAACGATAAAGGTACAATATTAACTTTAATTATCCGCAAGAAGTACAGAAGAAAAAAATGAATAAAACAAGTATTGTAGAGTTGGTAGACGCATAAATTAATGTAGAGACTTATTACGATGTTAAACTGCCACTCAATCCACTCGAACTTCTCATCTGCGTCCTGCATCAGCGGGAGATACATTCATGTTCAAAACTTTTAATTTCAGGTGGATTCGAAATTTCATTCTATCAAGATGAAACTTTTCGAATAATTTATTGACAAACTCTTCATATTTAATATCACTTCGAATAACAATTGATGTTGTTCGATTCCCAAACCACTTCCACTCGTCCTCTATGTTGACGAATTTACCATCATGCAAGACAACGAATCTCATAACATCTCCCATATCGGCATGTCATCAATGCAAATAAGATTAGCTAACATGAATACCTAAAACAAACATGATACCCATAAGAAATATGGTCAATGGTAAAAAAAAAAAATGTTCTGTAGCTTCGCTAAATTTGTAACATAATTCTCAACATTTGAAACAACGTTAAGAATTATAGTTGAAGTGTGATATGTCGACCGACAATTCACCATTTGCATTTATTATCTTTTTCAACCTCAGCAACCATTTTTTTAAAAGAATTTATTCCACCATTAATGGCATTGTCGATAAATGACAACCATAACAAATCCATCTATCAAAGTTATTTAAGTGGGTTATGACACCATACTTGAGAAAAACAAAACAATAAATATGAATTTGATTTAAAAATGCTCAAATAATCTTACAACAAATATCTAATAATTGTTCGAAAAATCTAATAATCCATTTGCATAATATATATCACAACAACTATTAAATACAACGTATCAATAAAAATAAGATTTCAAAGAAAATTTAACTTCTATAGAGAATTGTAGATGAGATTAAATTTCTCGATATGAAATTATATTATTTTTCTTTGAAGTAGAAGTATGTATTTTTTTTTTTTTTTTTGTGAGTTCATCGTTTTTCTATTTCATCATCTTCATTTCTACCCAAAATCATGGTTATTACCTAATAGATAATGAAATGACATTTATCCATCAGGGCTCTGTTTGTTTCTGATTAAAATCAAAATTTAATTTTAAGTCAAAGTCAATAATTAATTTTAACAACTCATTTTATGGATTTCACAACTTTTCAATCATATATTTCATCAATTTTTATCAAAATCAACTAAAAATCTAATTTTAATCTATAACAAACAGGGGCTAGGTATTAACTTGTATTATTGTAACTTCTCATGGAAACTACTTCTTTTCTAAAAATTTGTGACAAATTGAAAATAAAAAAAATTGATTCATTTTTCATTAAGCCCCTGTTTGGGTCACATTTATATCTCATTAAAATGAAAAATATGACAGTTATCCATCATATCAACATTTAAATTCAAATTTTCTATCTCCAGTGTAGGTCCCAATAACGACTATATTTTTCATTCTCATTCTACCAAAAGGTGGTTCAAACAGGGCTTAAGGATATAAAGGATAATTTGATACCAAATTTGACAAAATTAGATATTTTTTAATTGACAAGCATGTAATTGACTATTTTTGAAAACTTCCCAATATGCAAAATATTTTAATTGACTTAATGGTCCTTAATTTTTACATATTATTGCACTTATGATCCTCCTTTACTCACATTTTCCCTTAACCTTCTACTAATTAGTTTATATTGTCTCTTTTGATGGTTTTGTCCAAAAATTATTTTAAAATGCTCTAAAATGAGGGACAAATATTTAATCATGCTTTCGTATTTGTTATTTATTTATTTTTTGCTTATTTACAAGAGGCAAATAAGCTCTATTTGATTTGAATAAAAGTTAAATTTTTAGTAGATTTTAATAAAAATTGATGAAATATATGATTGGAGAGTTGATAAAAGTTGTCGATTCCGTAATACATGCACTTGAAAATTAGTTTGTGAAAAAACGAGTTTTAAGAAATGAGATTAAAATGGGAGCTATGTCTTTTTATGAATTTAGATGTGTTAAATGGAAAGTCTCGTTCTCTAAAAATTCATTAATTTTTTTTTCAATTATACATTTTTTTAATAGAATAATTTTTTAGGCAGTTCTATTTATTTATTTATTTTTTTTTACTTTTAATCACACATTTTAACTAATTTTTATTACAAAACTCATTTTAACAAAAAGATTCAAACTGAGCCATAAATATAATAATGCTATGAAAAAGTTGGGATACAAGCGCAAAAGAAAAAAAAAAGTTTTTGTATATTTAGAACATGTTTGGTGCACATTAAAATGAGAGAATACATTTTTTTTAAGTGATGTGATGGGAAATATGTGGTTGAAAATGAAGAAAAAGTTATGATGTGATGAAAAATATTATTTTATTGAAAAATGCGTGGTTGAAAATGAGTAGAATGAGAATGAAAATTTTAATATAACTTAAATAGGGGGCTAAATGTAATTTTCTCTTCTTATCATTTCATCTCTGTCCTAGATTTAGAGCCGATTTGAGTCCCATTTTTTTTTCTTAAGAATACATTTTGAAAAATTAGATTGATGAAGAATGTATTNCTGTCAACTCCACTCCCACGTTGTCATCTCGTTCGCTCACCTCTCTTCCTTTTCTCTCTACAATCCACCGAGTTACCTTCAGAACCCATTTTCCACCCCTTTCTCCCTCCAAAAATCCACCACAATATAAACATACACAAGCCTATAATCCACACCCAAGCATCTTGTTCATCGTAATTGTAATTGCAGTACCTTACTTTCTTTTGGTGGTTTTTTGAGGTTTTTTTTTTTTTGGCTCAATTACTGTACAGATGCGATCAATTTTCACTTCCTTCAATATCCGTCATCGGATGTTATGACTATTTTTGCTAGTCAATGGCTCTTCCCGCATTTCGTTTCACTATTTTACAGCTCACAGTCTTAACAATCTTGTCAAACCCTAGCTCAGTTTTTGGTTTAGTTTCAGTATCAGGCGGTTCGGATTTTGATTCGGATTTGGACTCGGAGTTTTTGTTGTTTCACCAGGATTATACCCCTCCGGCGCCGCCTCCTCCACCGCCCCATCCGCCGTCGGTTTCGTGCGAGCTTGATCTTGGCGGCATCGGTTCCTTGGACACCACCTGCGAGATAGCCTCCAATTTGAATTTGTCAAAGAATGTGTACATAGCAGGGAACGGTAATTTTGTTGTTTTGCCCAATATCAGTATATATTGCTCGTTTTCAGGTTGTTACATTGCAATTAATGTCACTGGAAACTTCACTTTGGGTGAGAACTCAGCAATATTCAGTGGCACCTTTGAATTAGCTGCGGATAATGCAAGTTTTGGGAATGGTTCTTCCGTGAATACTACGGGGCTGGCTGGTTCGCCACCATCCCAGACTACTGGGACACCGCAAGGGTTTGATGGAGCAGGTGGAGGATACGGAGGCAGAGGTGCGACATGCTTTAGAGATAAAAGAAAGCCTCTCGAGGACTTCTGGGGAGGGGATCCATACGAGTGGTCAAATTTGGAGAAGCCGTGGAGTTATGGGAGTAGAGGTGGGACCACGAGTCCGGAAATTGATTATGGAGGCGGTGGAGGTGGGAGGGTGATGCTAGTGATTTCAAGTCTTTTGGAGGTGAATGGAACCATTTTGGCTGATGGAGGAGATGGAGATACCAAAGGCGGAGGAGGTTCTGGTGGCAGCATCTACATCAAGGCGCATAAGATGTAAATTTTCGTTTCTCTCGATTGCCATTTGTCTTTATTACATTAAATTTGATTTTCAATAGATGACCTTATTATTGCTTGGGTACACAGCTAGGCCCGAAATTGCACTCTTGGAAGAGCTAAATATAGAATAGTAAACACCATTCTATAGTTAAGCTTTGAATGTCGAGTTGATAAATATGTTGCACTATACTATCATGTCGTTCATTGATGCATAACTAGATGTTAACTCAAATCAAGACTTATTTGGCACTGCAGTTAAAAAGATTATGACTTTTAAACCTACTTGTTTAGAAATTTGTGACCCCTTGACACTGATGCGACTCTTGTACATGTGATTAAACATCTTTTGGTTGTTATGTCGCCCGTTTGATTACAAAACTCTGTCCCAGTGAGCCACATGGATGATGCAATTGTAAAGGTGTGGCTCACAGCATCTCATTCCGTTTGTTTCCTATTAAAATCCAATTAAAATTGAAAATATAGCCGTTATTGGGTCCCACACGTCTAATAAAAGTCAACAATAACGGCTAGTTTTTCAATTTTAATTCGATTTTAATCTCTACCAAACACGCCCCTATTTTTGTCCCAGACCTATGGGGGGAATGGGCCTGCAAGGGAACTGGTGTAGTAGGATCCCCAGTTACATACTGGTTGCCGGTTGGCTATGATATCTGCAAGGGGATATTCCTTCATGTTTTCTGGCTTTAAGTCCCTTGGCTTTCCATATATAAGCTGGTCTTCCACTTTCCGACTTTATGTCAGACATAACATTCCTCTATTCGGAGCATTCATTAATAGGGTGAGATACTGGTCAACTGAAGGGTAACTTTGTTACCAAGCATGGCTAGTCTAATGAGCTATTTCATTAAAAAATATTTCATATTTACACATTACTGGTGGTACCCTATTTGGCTATTTCTCTTCTTATGTTTTAATATGCTGCTATTATATATCCTTCAAGTAAAAATGGCTGAATTTACTTGACACAACATTCCATAAGGTCTGAGAAGATGGTCTTTTATACTTTTCAATTCTCCCATACATTTACAATATGTTTTTGTACTCGAGTGTCTCGAGAGTCATGTACTCAGTGAATCCCTGAATAATGACTCTTCTCCTGTTCAGACCAATTTATTAGATTGAGGTTTTATCACATAAATTCGTCATTGTTCACGGTAAAACAACTATTAGAATTTTTTGGAAGCTATTAATTTTCTTGTAGTGGAATATTCTTGTTCATCTGGCATACTTATTGCAATAATATCTAATGTTCTTTTCTATTTTCTGTTTTTGAGAACTTATCCATGTGTAAATACATGCTGTTGTTTTTCTATTTTCTGTTTTTCATTTTTGTCCCCGAATCAATCGTGTGTTCTTTCTACTTCATTATCTTCGATCGGGAAAGCAAAATATTAGCTATGTTTTTATACTCTCATCAATAAGAAATTACGGGCAATTTTAATTCTCCATGTTTTTGGTAAATTGCAGGATTGGAATTGGTAGAATAAGTGCTTGTGGTGGTGGCGGTTTTGCAGGAGGAGGTGGTGGCAGAGTTGCTGTTGATATTTATAGCAGGCATGATGAACCGGTAATAGCTGCACATGGTAGGACCTGGGACATCTTTTTATGTTTTGCTTTTTAGGTTGTAAGATTTTTTGTTCTCTCTTTTTCCTTGTTTAACATTCAAACTATTGATAATTGTTCTCAAGTATACGCAGAACTACATATCTTTGTAGAACCTTGGTAAAACCTAAGGAGGTTGGTTCCTAAGGGTTTAGCTGTAGAAATATATTGGTCTATCCAAGATTCACCATATGCATATGACATGTTAAATTGACGGTTTTAGTGTATCCTATAAGCAAATGTATCTTTATAGGCAATTTCAACCTTCTCTATTTCCTTTTCGTTTCTTTTTTCTGGGGTGTGGGTGGTGGGGGGAGGCATGGTACAGCCAGATCACATAACACCATATCTTGAACCGTAGACACATGTGCCATCATTTGGACCGTCCTCATGCTTCTTGTATTTTAATTCATTGTAAGTTTTGTTATGCAGTTGAGGTAGTTTAAGAGGCAAGCGATTTCCCTTTCGTTATAACATTGTTTTATCTCCTTGACTCCCAGCAGTCATTTGCTTACATTTGTGATATAGTAGCCATGTTCCAGAGTATGCTGGAGTTGATTTCATTAACTTATTGGAAATTTGTATTTTTTGCTGCTTGGCGATTCAAAGCAAAAGTAGGATTAGATGAGTCAAAAATTGGAAAATAAATTGATTTTCCACATCTGATTATTTGGTTTTGATGAAAGTTGAAGCAAATAGGGAGTGAGTGAGATTATGATGAAGTTAGTTAACGGACAGGTTTAGATCTTTATCTCCACCAGGACTCCAAATGAACTGAGCTGATCCTAGCTGGGGGCTATTCTGGCTTGCCAGCTTGGTCCATCTCGACTTATGATTCACTCGAGTTCAGCTCATGCCTGTAAATAACGTTTGAGCTTTGCTACCCTGTTCAGGGCTAGCTTGCTCATGTTGGGGTGGTTTCTAATGCTTGAGTTTTCTTATAAGTTCTAATATCAGAAGGAAATGGGGAATGTTGTAGATCTATATCCAACCACGGTCCTTTTGCTTCACCAGTGTTATCCCCGTAGATGAAAAGTAGTTGTTCTCTTGAAAGAGAACAGAGTTCAATCAATATATCATGTGGGACAGAGTTCAAAGTCAATATATCTGCCACACATACCATTGCGAGGCGCGCACACACACGTCTATGCTAACTTCCCGCGTGGTTATGGTAAGTTAATATACCCATTTTACTAGATGCATCTAAGGCAAGCTGGTAGATACATATGTGAGAAAAAACAAAGAAAAAGGCAGTCTGCATTGAATATGAATGGTAAGGAACCTACACCAGTTCAATAGCCTCTATGCTGACTGTCAATCACCATCTTCTATGACAATAGCAGCTTCTCAACCTTATTTCAATAGTTCACAGTATGTTCTTTTCAATCGAGAAATTTGTAACTGAAGGCAATGAAGCATGCTCTGACACAGCCACATCATAGCATCATTGCCCATCACACAGGAGAATTGCATGTAGTTCTATAAAGCTTTATCTACAGAAGTTGAGAATTGAAGGGATTGAGATCTGGCCTTGTGCATCTGATTGAACTTGTGGGCATCTGATAAAAGTTGGCTGGTAGTGGTGGGTATTTAGGGTGATGTGTTGGTGGGATGGATTATATGATAGCAGCTCGAGTTATCAAGTGGCTAGTGATACAAAATTGATTGACTGTAAGTATTGTCCATGTGTGCATAAAGAGAAATGATGACTGAAATCTTGGGTGGTGGCCATGGGTGGAACCTCATTATGAGCTGGCAGTTAATGGATACCAAGAGAGTATTAATTGAAGTTGTTTAAATCCCTTTGCTTCTGCTTTTGAATTTCACCCTCGCATAACTATCTTCCCTATCATGGCTATTTTAAATTTAAAAGAATTGGGCATCTATAGAAACTCTGCTATATGTTTGCATATCTTAATAGTGTTGATGAACACATGAGCCAGCTGGGATTATTTATGCTATCTCATTTATAAAACGAAGCATACAAGCTTGAATCATTATGAATGAGTGAACACACAAAAAAAATTATATGTGCCGAACATGTGGCATTCATGAATGGCTTGGCTCATTTTGCAGCTTCATTTTCTACCTGCCCTCCTGTTTATCAATCACTCTGGTATTGAATTAACTATAATTTTGTAGCGTAATAATTTGGCACTGTAACTTGCTTCTCTGTCTCAACTACATGCCTAGTTCAAAAATATCCAGCCTTTGAAAAATTTTATAGTGCTTGACCCTGATATATTATATGGTGTTTTTTTTGGACCAGAAATACTAGCTATAGTAGCTTCATACTTTCGTTTTTTGCAGGAGGGAGTAGTCTTGGCTGCCCAGAGAATGCAGGTGCTGCCGGTACAGTTTATGACAATGTTCCTCGCAGCCTTATTGTCAGCAATCACAACAAATCAACATATACAGACACACTTCTTATGGAATTTCCTCAGCTATTTTTGACAAATATCTATATTCAGAATAAGGCAAAGGCTGCTGCTCCCTTACTATGGAGTCGTGTCCAGGTCAGAGGACTTCACATGTTTGTTCCTGCCAATGCACTTACCAAATGTGTTATCTTGCTTTCTGATGTATGGAATGTATATTTTTACTATGGTGAATTTTGCTTGAAACATCCATCTTAATTTCCTGCATAAGCAGAGTCCTTTTGGATTGATCTTTAAATTTGTCAATGCATTTGCTTGGATGTGTTTGAAACTTTTTCGTTTCTTGCCCTGCCTACAGGGGCACCTCTTGTTTTCTCCTGCCCTTTGTTATGGTAGATGTGATTGTTTTTTGTTTTTCCTTTTGATGTGCATCTCTTTTACCAACAACATATCCTTTGTCTGGGAGTACTTCTGTTTCCCATAATAATAAGGCACCTGTTGTCTATTTGATTTTCTTATCATTTAAATAACCTGAGGCACACTAATTTTCTTTAATGTTCTTTCGTAGATATATGTTCATTTGCTGCGAGACATTTACTCCATCTTTTCTACTGTCTGATGAATGTGACCCATGCACTGCCTGCTGTTTTATGATCCCATCATCTCTGTTACGCATTGCATGTATGTATATATTCCTATTTTTTCTAAATCGTAGTCTGCTGCTCATAACAGTTCATGCATTGAAGATAAAATAGTTTGTTTGGCATGGCAGAGTACCAGCAAAGATCTTTATGGAGAATAAAAAGCATTCGCCCTTTTTTATTTGTTGTCACCCGAAGAAGTACCAAAAGAAGAAATAGGAGGATTAACATGATTTTCTTTCAAACTGAAATATTTAAGTCAATATAATATTTGGAACTCTTGTCAACCAAATGATGTTTTAGTTTTGTGATTTCTTTACCTCGAGTGATACCTTAGTTTTTTTCGCTTAATTGAATTAATGTCTTTCCCATGTGAAAATATAGATGCAATATTGTTTTTGGGATATTAGTTGCACATTCAATGAGAATGTTCGAAAAATAACATTCTTTATACCAAACTTTCATCTATGAGCACCCAGTTAACTTTGGTGAAAAGAGAATAAAGAAACTGCATGCTTTAGTGCTTGTTTGAGCATTACCACTCTGAATTATGGACGTCTGCTTCTCAACTAGAAGTTTACATTGGATGATCAATTTATGTGTCAAACTCTCTTGGGTTTTGCCACTTTAACACGTATTCTTGATTCAGGAGAAACGTTTCACATTTGTTTTGTGTGTTAATCTTTAATGCCTGGAGACCAGCAGGTTCTTAAAAGAATCATGTTTAGCATTCCGTAATTTGATGATTCTTCTCGTGTGTATTTCTTCATTATTCTGTATCATTTCTCCTATCTATTTCTGCTCAACCAAGCCTTTTCCTTTTGCTCTTGGCACTAGGCCATATTGGCAACATTTTCAGAAGTTGATTATATCCTTCGTCTAATTTTTTTCATCTTCAATAACTGATCTGAATAAAGAAAGAAAAAGATCCTACATTTTAAGATGAGGAAAATCTCTCTGAACATCTGTTTCTTCCTTAATACTTGTGCCTTCGAGAGATATTTGCTCAGATACATGTCGATTTTCTATTTTTGCATTCTTATGTATTTCCTACACTGCTAAGTCCATTTTTGAATCTCGAATAAGCAATTAGTAGCTCCTATCTAAATTTTCCTGCGATCATCTCCATTGATGCATTCGATTATGCCTTAATCTTTTGCATCAAGTTCAACTTTTGGGTACGTACAGTGATTAGATCGTTCAGACATGCTGATAACCTTTTTTTTTTTGACATCTAGGCTACTACATGGTTTTTATTCCTTTATGTTGAATATAAGTTTGCTTGCGAGAATCTGGTTGAAATAATCGATTAGTAGCTCCTACCTAATCTTTCCTGCAATCATCTCCATTGATGCATTCGATTATGCCTTAATCTTTTGCATCAAGTTCAACTTTTGTGTACGTACAGTGACTAGATTGTTCAGACATGCTGATAAATTTTTTTTTTTTTTTTTTTGACATCTGCATGTTTTTTATTCCTTTATGTTGAGGTATAAGTTTGCTTTTGAGAATCTGATTCAACCATCTTTTATGATGTGTTATAAAGGTTCAAGGACAAATCAGCCTATTGTGTGGTGGAGTGTTGAGCTTTGGTCTAGCACAGTATTCGACATCGGAATTTGAATTATTGGCAGAAGAGCTGTTAATGAGTGATTCTATAATCAGAGTAAGTGGCAGTTTTCCTTATTTCCCGAAAAATACACGAGTTCTTTATACATTGTTTTCATAGATCCCTTATGTAACTTGTGCTAATGTCAAGAATTCTATGAATTTACAAAAGCTTGTTTCATTCTCCCTTAATATAGTCTGCTTTCTTGTTACATGCTTACCTTGTCTCTGTTCATTTATAACATGATATATGTAGGCACGCAGATCATAAAATGATACATTTTGTTTGAACTGTACTAGTTGGATGGTAGGGTGGATCCAGGACTAGATTAATTTTTTTTAAAGGCTGGGCTATATGTAAAAACAAATTCCACATAAATTTATTTATTTTTACATATAAAAAAATTAGAAAGGAAAATGTAAATGGGCCGGGGCTGCCCAGGCCAGCCCCTCCCTAAATCCGCCCCTGCATGCTGGTATATGTTCATTGAATGTTCTAAAATACACGTTCTTTCCAATAAGGGAAAAGGTGTATGAGGAAAGACATTGAGGCTATACTTGTACCATTCCCTTGATTCACATGAACTCATTATTGAAAAGATCTCAAGATGGCTGGCATATGGGTGCGCACTCTACTCGTCATGAAACGTTATACGTTTGACTAGATTACAAATGAAAAGAAGTCATTGAGAAGGGACATCTGGAGATCATTAGTGGGTATCACCTTTACTGAGCTTATATCGTGGATATTGTCTGTGCAAGTTTAGATCTCCATTGAATGAGGCTATAAGAGGGAACTTAGACTTGTTGAAGAATGAACTTTTGTTGTGTTGACGAAAGAATCAGTTGCATGAAGAATCAAATCAATTAAGTGTTTTGTGGACTTTTGCAAAATTGTTGTATGATTCAAAATTAGCATTTTAGCATTTGGTAAATAAAAGTGATTTATTGTTGTGCCTGTATACAATACTAAAATGGATATTCATTATAATAAATGTCTTTTGTATTGTTATTATCATTAATAGTATTTTTAAAATTTTTTTTTTACTTTTATAACCATATGTAATATTGTCAAAAAAAATTCCAATACAATGTATTTACTATCGTTATTTTAAAATGACAAAAATAAAATCTATAAAACTCAAAATTTATAAAATTACAAAATAAAGGCACTAGTTTTATGTTATTTTCTTATACATTAGATTCGCAGCAATTTGGTTTCTCAATTTATTTTTGGAATATTAATGAACATAGGACAAAAAAGGAATTAATTAAATTAAGTAGGGTTAAATTGGAATTTTATTTATAGATAATTGAAGAAGCTAAAAGCAAAATTTGAAAAGCTATCATTTTACTGCTTCTCAAACTGCTGCTAGACGATACATATTCTTCTATAAAGAGTTTTTTAAAATTTACCAAACACCAAAACAACTCCTAGTTGTTGGACAATTAGAAGTTGGACTCTAGAATTAATCCCAAACGGGGCTTAGCTGATAAGAGCTTTAATATATCTTATTAATCTTTATTCTCTTCATGGTGGGGAGGCATGTAAATTTGATCATCAGGGCTAAATTTATTATCCTTGGATTGCTGCCACCCTCTTTTCCCTTGTGAAGTTCTGGTCTCATGCTTACTGGTCTCCCTGGTTCGTTGTTCTATGAATATTTTTCTATCTTGATGAACTGCAATACTACTTTTTGATATCTTGGATCTTGTTTTGTCAGCTTATACATGCAGTTTGTTTCTCTCTGATGAGTTATTGTTTTAGTACTTTGAGTAATATAAGCTTGTGTGATTGCCAGAATTGAAAGTAGTGGAGAAAAATGATTCATGTAGTTGAACCTAATTTATTGGGATCAAGGCTTTGTTTGCTGTTTATACTTGTCTGATCACCACATACTTTTCTAGGTTTTCGGGGCTCTTCGCATGTCTGTTAAAATGTTTTTGATGTGGAATTCAAAGATGCAAATATATGGAGGTGGAGATGGAGCTGTCGAGACATCATTACTAGAGGCTAGCAATCTTTTAGTACTGAAGGTGCAGTATTGGCCTTCTATTTCTTGCAGTATCTTGCTCTTGGGATTCTCATGTAACCTTCTTGTCCATTTTCGTTGCTCAGGAGTCATCCTTTATTCATTCAAATGCAAATCTGGGGGTTCATGGGCAAGGCTTATTAAATTTATCAGGACCAGGAGACTTCATTGAAGCACAACGTCTTGTTTTGTCGTTGTTTTATAGCATAAATGTAAGTGGAATTCATATTTGTGCGACTAAAAAAGATTCTTTAGTATGATATTAACCAGCGATTTCATTTTTTAATTTTGTATATGGACGCATGAACTTTTTATTCCCGTCTGTTTTGTTTTTTGAAATGCGTGTTTGGTTTTCAAGTTCATACAACTAAGGCAAAAAAGGAATTTTGTAATTGTGCCCTGCTTACTGAAGTTTTGTTCTTTCTTTGTGCTTAAGGTAATTGGGGTTTTACTTGTCTTGTGTGTTTATCTCAATACTCAAGAATTTGTTTTCCTTACAATGTATTTGGCCGCGTGTAGGTAACTGTGAAAGCCAACTTTCATCTGTCAACATCCATAGGTGCTAAAATTGGCTTGTATATTCAGTTGGAACATATATCACAAAGTTCATCTAGCTGCAGCACCTTTTCCTATTCTGCTGCCTCCCCACTTTCCATGGAAAACTACAATCTTTTTGTTTTCTGCCTTATCCAGTCTGACCAGATGATGTTAGTTGATCATCTTAGTTTATTTACCTTCATCTTTAAGCTTCTGGTATGATTAGTTATTTGAATTTTGGTGACGTCAATTTTTCTTGCTTTCTGTTCGATCAATCACGTTTGAATGACATTGCCATACTTTCTAGCTGACGGGACGCTTTGTTCTTAAATCTTCTGAAATTTTCATCGCATCTGTGTCTCTTTAATCTTTGGACTAATTGTATATAACAAAGTTACTCAATTTGATTTTCATGGTGCAAAAAAAAAAATAAAAATAGAAAAATAAATAAATAAATAAAAATAAGAAGAAGCAAGACCGCTCCTGTTCAATAGTTGTTTCCCATCATGCCCATCACCTTAGCTTGTTGCTTGACCTGACTGTTAAATGAATATTGCTGTCACAAGCCATGTACGTCACGCACTTTTAGGCCTTTTGTAAATGTTTCTTAAACTATTCTAAAGGGTTATTCTTTTTCCCTCCATATCTTATGTTGTCATGAAGATTGGACCTGGTTCTGCTCTGCGTGGTCCTTCACAAAGTGCTTTGGATGATGCTGTGTAAGTTGTGATTTTCAGTTCTATCCAATTATCTGAAAGTTCCACTCTTTCCTTCACTGATGTTTGCTTTTTTATGTTTTGTAGGTCACTAAAGCTGAACTGTGATTTACAAAATTGTCCCTTTGAACTCCTCCATCCACCTGAAGATTGCAATGTGAACTCTTCTCTGTCCTTCACCTTACAGGTGGCTGTTTGCTGATAGTAAATGTGTATTTTTCTCCTGTAGTTTTAGTTATCTCCTAATGCTTAATATTGTCTGTAACTATTGTTATATGGGTTATATGCTCTAATCAAGGTAGGTATCATAAATTTTTTCTAATAATTAATTACTCGTATAATCTGCAGATCTGTCGAGTTGAGGATATCCTTGTACAAGGTTCCATTGAAGGATCTGTTGTTCATTTCCACAGAGCAAGAACCATCACTGTCCAGTCTTCTGGAATAATTAGCACATCTGGAATGGGTATGACTCATTTACTCTTTTAATGATATAATCACTTTACCTTTTTTAGTAATTTGGGCAAGGCAGACGGATCTCTCTTGACCTTGACTTGAAATCCTGGAGAATGGGCAATATGTTTTGCATTTGTTTTTATGTTCTATTAATAAAACTTCCTTCAAATATTGAATGACTATGTTAATTGGTTGAATTATATTTCCTGTTATTTTGGTACATCGTTATGCAGGCTGCATTGGAGGTACAGGTCAAGGAAAAATTTTAAGTAGTGGTCTCGGCAGTGGTGCTGGGCATGGCGGTATGGGTGGAATGGGGTGTTACAATGGCAGCTGCGTTGAGGGTGGCATATCATATGGAGATGCTGATTTGCCTTGTGAACTGGGTAGTGGGAGCGGAACTGATAGTTTGGCTGGTTCAACTGCCGGTGGTGGTATTTTAGGTTAGCCCAAGTCTGCCAGCTTTTGAATCATTGTTCCTATGTCATAACGTGGTAACTTTGCATTGCTGATTTGGGAGTCATAGTTAGTTCGATAGTTATTACTGTTAACTCTTTGGCGGCCAAAAATTAATAGAGATCACGTTGTGTTGTCCATTTACTGTGAGGGGCATACTCGACATTGGCCTTCTCTTTGACAAATGGAAGAGTGGAGCTTGAGATAAACCATGAAATAATAATTGTGTGACATTGTCAGTTTATACTAGAAATGGTTGCCATAATGTGAAAAGTTGGTTTCAAGACTATTAGTATGATGGACATACTGGGACCATCATATGGATATAGCAACCAATTACAATTTTGTAGAACTAGTTTTATTTTTGTCTGTCAAATTTATTTATCAGACACAAGTTCTGCTGACGTCATTCTACTTGTTTAGGTAGTGATCAATATACTTTGTTGAACAGATATTTTCTGCACATTTCAAAACAAAAAGCTCTCTAGGAAACAAGTAATTGACACGTGTAGGCGATTAAAGTGCCAGTATTATGAGATAGGCTTCATGATTTGCAATTTTCACTTTTTGGATGAGATATTATGGCTCAACTGCCGGCTCAATATGAAAGATTTCTGGCAACATATCAAAGTCTCAAGTATATATTTTTTGGCCTGAATTGGAATTGATTGGCACAATTTTGATTCAGCCGCTGTTACTATATGCTCTGTATACGTTGCATGCTTTAGCTGGTTATCAATTTCACTTTATTAGGGAATTGCATTCAGCCATCTTATTTAGCATATTGGTATTGTAGCTGTTATTAATTTGATTGTATTTTTTCATCCTCAACATTAAGCTTGTCTTTTGCTGCTTTCCTCCGTAACATTTGTGGAATGATAATTTATATAATCTTTGTCCCAATTTTTAGTTTCTTTATTGAATGCCTTTGTCTTCAGTGGAGGAGAAAGTGTGGGTGGGTAGAGCTCTTACCTCACTTTATGCCAAATATCGTGAAAGTTTATACTGCAGATATTTTCGAATTCTCTTGTTCTGTTCAGATGCATTTGATTCTCATATTTCTGTCATTCAGAGTAACTAACCGTCTTCTTTATTCTCTCACTATATTTACTTTCCATGCAGTGATGGGTTCACTGGAGCAGCCCTTGATGAGTTTATCAGTTGAAGGTTCAGTTAGAGCTGATGGAGACAGTTTTAACGAAAGTCTCCAAAAGAAGAATGTGGTTATGGATGGTGGGAATATTGGACCTGGGGGTGGATCTGGTGGAACTGTCCTGTTGTTTTTGCGTACTCTGACTCTCAGTGAATCTGGCATTTTATCAAGTGTCGGGGGTCATGGAAGTCCGAGTGGTGGAGGAGGAGGTGGAGGTGGAAGGATTCATTTCCACTGGTCAGACATTCCCACTGGAGACATATATCAGCAGATAGCTAGTGTAAATGGAACCATTCATACAGGGTTAGTATTATATAGTTCCCAAACTGATATAGTTGGTTACCAAATACTCAGGATGCAATACTCTATGGAAGTTGACAATATGTTTTCTAATAATTAACTGCATCTTATTATTTTCTATGATTATAGCCTTCCTATTCTTTACACCTTTCAGTTCCAGATAATTGTTTATTGCCTTGTCCTGGGTTATCAAACTTAAAAAGTTTTTTTCTGATTTTTGTTGTCGGTGAGAATTTTGCTGGAAAGTAAGAATTATTTCAAGAGAACTTGGCTCCTAAGCTGATTTGTAATATGTATAGTCATTTTTCGTGGTATCATTATTTGCATTTGTTCTTGTGTATTAGTATTTTCTGGGAAACTTTTTCAGTAAACTAGATTCTTCTTTTACCCTAGGGGTGGATTGGGTGGCATTCAGGGATACACTGGAGAAAATGGAACAGTCAGTGGGAAAACTTGTCCCAAGGGGCTTTATGGAATATTTTGCGAGGTATTTCACAATTTATTGTGCATTGAATTGAGTTTTTCGCAGTACTTTCTTTTCTCCAGTATTGTTGCTCTGATTTCTCACCTGAAGTCCAGGCTTCAACCCTGAACTAGCCTTCTCCTTTGTCCTAGATTTTGCTATGTTTGAGAAGAGGATTTTGTTTTCAGTTTAAATTGCATCTCGGTGTATATTTGTTTACTAACAAATTAATTTTCATTTTTCATTTTCCATTTTTTATTTAATAATTCTAATTGATTTTTTTTTTTTAATTTAAGAAAAAGGTTTGTTCAGTTCAGTAACTAGAAGTTCACAGGCGATGGAGAATAACATGTTCTACATAACTATTCTGCTTGCTTATTTACTTGTTTGTAATGCAATTCTGCAGGAATGTCCAACTGGCACTTATAAAAATGTTACAGGATCAGATAGCTCCCTCTGTTTTCCATGCCCAAGCTCTGAACTTCCCAGTCGTGCTGTTTATATTTATGTTCGAGGTATTTCCATTGAAGTGGCTTATGCAGCTATCTTTCCCCAATTTAATGTCATTCTTTGAGATATTATTGTCTTGTCTTTTGAGTTTTTTTTTTAATATTAGATCTCACCAATTTATTAACTATTATCAAAATGTATTCTCTCAGTATGGTAGTCCCACACACATCGATGTTAGGGTCTCACTATCCTATTTAAACATTGTCTTGTGAAATCCTTGTTTATTTCTAGTTTCTGGTTGCCCCTATCAGGTGGTATTACGGAAACTCCTTGTCCGTACAAATGCGCATCTGAGAGATATCACATGCCAAATTGCTATACAGCTCTTGAAGAGTTGATATACACGTTTGGAGGACCTTGGTTGTTTGGTCTTCTGCTTTTGGGTCTCCTCATCTTGCTAGCTTTGGTCCTTAGTGTTGCAAGGATGAAGTTTATTGGGGTTGATGAGTTACCCGGCCCTGCTCCTACACAACAGGGTTCCCAAATAGATCACTCGTTTCCTTTCCTGGAGTCGCTTAATGAGGTATCCTGTGAGCAACTCTGCATTGTAAATTTTATCGAGTATAGTGACATGTACTCCTACCTTGCTGTTGTAGAGACAAAAAGATTAAAATGCTGACTTCTTCTCCACAATCAGGTAATGGAAACTAACAGGGTCGAGGAGTCTCAGAGTCACATGCACAGAATGTATTTTATGGGACCAAACACATTTAGTAAACCTTGGCTTCTTCCTCATACACCTCCTGAACAAATAAAAGAAATTGTGTAAGTTTCATTTATTTTATAATTTCTTTTGGCTCTTATTTATTTTGTTGATTGATAATATGCAATAATTGCTTATACCATGAATCAGTTAACTTCTTAATCTGTTCCCTTTCCCATTTGACATCCCAGAGGGATGGATTTTTGTTGTATTTTCGCACATTGCAGACTTGGGGCAAAAGTTTAAATGATATACTTAAATGGCAGATATGAGGATGCATTTAATATGTTTGTGGATGAGATCAATGCTATTGCTGCATATCATTGGTGGGAAGGATCAGTGCATAGTATTCTTTGTATTCTTGCATATCCTCTTGCATGGTCCTGGCAACAATGGAGAAGGAAAGTGAAGTTACAACGGCTTCGAGAATTCGTGAGATCGGAATATGATCATGCTTGCTTGCGTTCTTGCCGTTCACGTGCTCTGTATGAAGGACTGAAGGTAATTTTTCCAGGGACTATAATTAGTTGAAACATTTTATACACACTTTCGTCAACTTTTTTGAAGTTCACATATTTGTGGCCAAAGATCATGCATTGATGTTTCTGTAATTAATAAAATTCCGATATGATTTTTCTCAAAAAAGATAAAGGTCAGTACATCAGATTTTCCATGATCTTTATGACATCATTCAAGTTTTAGTCTCTCTTCATCTCTCTTCCTTTTCTTGTTTGGAGGTGGCCAGGTGGGGAATAAGGGTTGTTAGAACAAAGCAAAGCTAACAAAGCACGTAGATGCTCACAAGTACCTTCCAGTTAAGGTGGATGAGTTTGTTGTTCACGTTAGATCGTGTCTCATGTTTCCCTGACGTTTTGATGCTTGGGTCTCGTTAAAAAAAATATATAAGCTCCTGTTTGGTGCACATTTTGAGTCCAATAATGCATTTTTTTTTTGTTTGATGTGATGGGGAATATGTGGTTGAAAAAGAAGGAAAAATTATTGATGTGATAGAAAATATTATTTTATTGAAGAATACGTGGTTGAAAATGAATAGAAGAATGAGAATAAAAAAAATAATGCGGCTCAAACAGGGCCTAAATTTGAAGTGTTGCATCTCCACATTTATTATTATATATATTTGTTGCTTTTAAAAATGAAAATTACTTTTTTGGCTTCTTAGGGCACATTTACCTCAAGTCTAACCACCATGAAAACTGCACTCCTCATTTGGCATATGCATTATAAATCCATTTCATAACACTCAGAAAGTATAATGTGACTCAAACAGAATTCAAACTTTTTCATGCTCATCGTTATTAATATACATGACTGTAGGTGGCGGCAACACCTGATTTAATGCTAGCATATATAGACTTTTTTCTTGGTGGTGATGAAAAGAGAAGCGATCTTCCTCCTCCTCTATATCAAAGATTTCCACTGTCTCTATTGTTCGGAGGTGATGGAAGTTACATGACTCCTTTCTCACTCCACAATGACAAAATCATCACCAACCTCATGAGTCAGGTTTGTAACTTGATGCTAAGAAACAGAAGTACAAAATTTGCATGAGGAGAAATAAGAATTTGGAAAAGCAATTCCTTTTGTGAACTTTGAATGATAAAAATTAAACTAACTTACAGTTCTACTTTCAGTCTATGCCACCTACCACATGGTTTCGCTTTGTGGCTGGTTTGAATGCACAATTACGCTTGGTACATCGTGGTTGCCTTAGGGCAAAGTTCCGCCCTGTCCTTAAATGGCTTGAGACTTTTGCAAATCCCACTTTAAGGATTTATGGTGTGGGGGTGGATCTTGCCTGGTTTCAAGCTACAAATGGTGGTTATTTTCATTATGGACTTTTGGTATATGCTGTCGAAGAAGAAATGGACTCTGCATCTTTAGAACGTCTCTGTGGAGCTAATGAACAGCAATTGCGGTATGGAATCTCAATAACATCAATGCAGACATAAAAATTGATCTGATCTTTCACGTTTAGACTATATGAAGTATAAAAATGTATGTACATCTGATTTTGAAAGCTTTGATCTGGGCCGGAAACAAATTTATCACTTCTCTTTTTCCTTTCCTCTCACATTATTAGATGTTCTATGTCTTAAATGGAATCCCATGTTTTAGGTGCAAGTTTGATTCCATTTTAGGTGCAACTTTACTAAGTCACATCACTTATAAAGACAATGAGATAAGGAAGTAGGAATTAGTCGAACCAGCTTAGATAAGTGAATCAGTTTGGTGGGTGTGCATGTTCGTAACCGTTCTTTGTGCATGCATTATGTTGGTCTTTTTTCTTTCGGCTTTTTAAGTGAACAAATTGTATAAAAATTATAATATTAAGAAGAAACATATGTTTCTAGGTTTCTGTGCATAATTCTTATCTTTATTCACATCTGTTTCTTTGAAGCAGTACGGTTGATATTTTCACGAGAGAAGAGACATATCTGAGCCAAACTTGGAGAAGCACTGATGGTAACCTAAGGCACCAGGCTTACGGCAGCATTGTCGATGTTAACAATTTAAAGATGCTTGCAGAGAAAAGAGATATATTTTTTGCCCTCTCTTTTCTAATTCACAACTCTAAACCTGTTGGCCACCAGGTAATTTCTCCTCTCCCCCCTCTTCCCACAGCCAAAAAAAAAAAGAGTAGAGAAAAGCGTTGGAACATTCCTTTCTTGGTTACACGTGTTGGGGCCACTGTAGGTAGTTTTTTAATATTTTTCTTTCCTAAACATGCTGTGCATCTCGTGCTGCAGGATCTTGTTGGTTTGGTTGTATCTATTCTGCTTCTTGGAGATTTTAGCTTAGTCTTGCTCACATTGCTGCAGCTGTATTCACTTTCCCTGACATATGTCTTGCTTGTTTTGTCCATTTTACCTCTTGGAATTTTACTTCCCTTCCCTGCTGGAATCAATGCTTTATTTAGTCATGGACCAAGGCGATCAGCGGGTCTTGCACGTGTGTATGCTTTGTGGAATGTCACGTCCTTGATAAATATTGTAAGTTAATGCATCATGTTTACTAGTTCAGTTCTAAATGTTGTACTATTTTAAGTTGTGAATGGGAGACATTCATAGGATACTTTTGATGGTCATCTTATTTTACTTGTATTTTATTTTATTTTATTTTTTCCATTTTTTATTTGATTTTTGTCGAATCATGTCTTTCTTTTCAATAACCATGCGCATCCTTTTGACTTTTCTAGGTTCTCTGATTGATTGATTTATTTGATTTGAAACACTTGTTCTAACTGCTTGATTGGTTTTGGCAATATCCCAGGGTGTTGCATTCATCTGTGGATATGTTCACTATAGTTCACAGTCGAGCAAAAAAAATCCTTACTTCCAGCCATGGAACATGTGAGGCGAATTCCAAGCTTTTCATACTAAATTTCAGTTTTTGGCTAAGTATATCTTCTCATTTTCTTCTTCTGTTTCTGTGGACGCAGGGACGAAAGTGAATGGTGGCTTTTTCCTTTGGCACTGCTTTTGTGTAAATGTATCCAATTGCAGCTCATAAATTGGCATGTAGCAAATTTGGAGATTCAAGATCGTTCACTGTATAGCAAGGACTTCGACTTGTTTTGGCTGTCCTGATGTTTATCGAGCAAGTATAGCCCACACTAACACTTTTTCTCGTTTCGTTTAGTATGTTTGTTTATTCCATAGAGTAGAGCAATTGGCAGAAAAGTAGAAAGTAGTTGATAAAAAAGAAAGGGTAAAAAGTTATAGATATTTGTTGGGTAACTCTTTGTTTTGTGCAGCTCTAATAATCTTGCATTGTAAATATAAATTGGGATATTCCCAGCCGTAGGACTTCAGAGATGCACGATCGAGTCGATCGCCGACTAGAAATGGTCGTAAATTAATAATTTTGTAGCTTTGTTTTCTAGTATTTGTGATGTTTGATGTTAATCTACCTTACTAATAAGTCGCTTGGTAGAGATTAAAATCTAAATTTTAATTTAAGTTAAAGTCAACAATTAATTTTAATCACATATTTCACGGTATCCGCAACTTTACAATCATACATTTCATT